GACTTTGAAAAAAGTCAGGTTTCAAACCTGTATCATTTGATTAAGAGTCCAGTGCTTTAACCCTTTCACTCTCAAGATCTTATTAATAATTATCCTTACTGTCTGTCATACTTGAGGATAGTAATGTCTTCTTATAATGTCAGTATGGAGGATGCGGCATTGGATCAACTAGCAATTCTCTTTTCAATACTTTTCTTTATTATCAACTCTTTTCTGCACGATATTGTAAGGAGAAATGTTGTCTTGATTGCGTATAAGAGTTTAAGGGTTAACAGATACCATTTATGATATTAACAGCATTATTACTTACCATCCTGACGAGCAAGCGAGATTATTTTCCTTGGTTCCGACCCCTCTTTAAGACCAGCATTTTTACTCTTGCATCTTGCTTGGTTTCTTGGTGTTGTCTTTGGTGAATCAAGCCCTTAATTTTTGTAGAAATGAAAGGTTTCTTCCATGTTAAAGAATGATACCATTTGGAGAGACCGTCAGGAATACTCAAGAATTTGTCAGATAGAAAAGAGCAAAAAGGTATCCAATATCCATTGTATCCTTGCTGATTTTAATAAGAATTTCCACCGTGTCATGGTAGTTTTATGTGTCAGTAGACCAAATTGGGTATGGTTACAGTTACTATTGTTATAAGAAGGGCAAATAATTGGAGATACCAGGGGTACACAAATAAATCCCCCCCCCAAACATCCGTAAAGAAAAAATCTCAAAGGGCAGCATGATAAATATTTTGATGTTTAGTTCGGTGTTTCTTACAAAACCTTACCTGCAAACGAAAGCTTCTGTTTTGGATCAGAGTTCTCTTCATCGCTGGAAACAACTTCTCTAACCTTTCCATCATTGTTCTTTCTCTTCTTCGGGGATACGGAAACCGGTGTTTGACAAGCTAAAAGAAAATTCAAGCAAATCATTTATATCAACAGAGCAATTAAGACGTTACCCAAGGGTATTGCCAATGAAATTAAAGCAAGCTTAAAGTTTTGAAATATATATTTAACAAAATGAAGTTGAACGAAGAACCATCGAATTCTGAACGGCATTAATTAACACTTAATGAGGAAAGAGGCTCGAAGAAGCGAACAGAATAAAAAAAATTGCAAAATTGTAATATCTAGCGCTGCCGATAGCTTTGTCAGTAGCGCAGCGTTATAATGCGTGCATGCAAATGAGTCGCAAACTGTAAATCCGATTAGAGTCTTTGTGCCGAATTGAAGATCGACGGAAGATAAAGCATGGGGAATGAAACTTGAAACAAAATGTTTATATATAAAATATGAATCATAATAAGAAGGCTTCATAGTGCTTACATTTCCAAGGATTTGATTTTTTTTCTTCTGACGTTCGACCTTGCACACGCGCGGGAATAAATGACCGAATGTGCAATTGCAAATAAGTAGATTTCATATTTTAAACACCGTTGTCAGTTTCGCTGAAGTGAAAATTTGACGATCCTTATATCTCTAACAGGGGTCTTTACATTGGCTTACAAAAGAAGTTTAATAAAGAAGCAAAAGATAACATTCTAGGCTTACCCTTCGCGGGATCGCGGCGTTTTCTCGGTGAGATCGAACATTCTCGTGTGTGTTTGCTTCGACTTGCCGCGATCGTTCCTTCGTTCTTCTTCTGCTGTGATCGAGTCTTCTGACAACGAAATTCGATTTGTTTCTGAGCACTGCGAGTAATTCGAGGCATCTTTTTACGACCAAGGTGGAAAAGAAGCCAAAACTCTCGACGATATCGAAGGGGTCAAGCGACAAACTGCAGCCTCGCATATGAAATGAAAAATAGCATCATGCTACCGTGAATATTCGCGCGAAAACTTTTAAGCCAATCACAAAGTATATGAGGATTTCGGCGCCGCGGGTAAATATTTAATGGCCAGCGTGTCACTTTATAAAAGCAGCTGAGCGGCGCCATTTTGTCTTCCAAACAAATTTAGAACGTGAAGAAAGAGGCAAGGCTTCTAATTACAATCTAACATCTGTGGATACGCAGTAAGCGCCCGTAGAAATAAACAATGGCGGAGGAGATCGAAAGGCTGAAAGCTAAGATTAAAGAGCTTGAGATCGCGCTGGAAAATGAGCGTAAAAGAAAGGGACCCGTGAGGGAAAAAATTCAGGAGATGAGCTCTGAAGTCGTGGATAGTAATCCATATAGGTGAGTTGGTTAACGTTTTGCTAAACGGTTTTTCGATCGTGTGAGAATTAGTTTTCGAAGCCAAATGAAACATTTAAGGAGCAACCCACTGTGGTTATTAGCTTTCAATACTGCGCTATTGTTCGTTTTAAATGAATTTTTATATTTAAAATCATAGTCCCCGGTGATCATGGTCCCACGAAAAAATCGGATCGAAAGATCACGAAAAGCGGTGATCACAAGTAGTTGCTGCCTTCCCCTTGTGAAAGACGTGTCTTGAAAGCGCGTTAAATAACTAAGTTGTCTGTCGATTTTCCTGCAGTAGCATGAAAACAAATAATATTTAACGCCCAGTTGACCGTTGTTAGCTTTGTTCAACAAGGTTACAAAACATTCAAACATTTTATGTAAACACCGATATGAAATTTCTGTTACATATTTTCACGTTTGTACGATCGGGTTTGATTCTACCAGAACTCAAGGAAACTTGAACCCTGGTGGTTTCTCTATATCGTTTTGCTTCATTGGACGTGTGTTTTGGTGGCAGGATTCTTTGGAAAGTTACACCGGTTGTGTTCAAAGATTAAATACAAATGCTTGGGGTATCATTGATATTGAAAATTGTAGCATCTTTGCGTAAATCATGAGGCAAAGAAAGGTTCATCGTTGTTGTCTCGTATTTTCCTGTTTAAACCATTGCCTTTAATTATCATTGTTGCAACTGTCTAGTAATTGATCAAAGAAAATTGCTCTCAGAGAATTGTGAAAAATCAACAAGTTTTATTGTGACACAGAAAAATTTACATTTTGGAGAAAAGTCAAGAAAAACTGAAGCTCTGGAATTATTTTGGAGCATCATTCGTGTGTTTTGGGGAAGTTAATTAATAAATTAAAATTTGATATGCCACTGAACTTTAAGATGTAAATATGTCATTGATACCTGATCGTATTCTTGTCCTTTGCAAATTTGCCTGAGTGCTTTCTTGCAGCTGTAATGTGAAATAAATTTCTCAACTGTCTATAAATAAAATATGCATGGTATCTCTGAAGTTGAGTGAAGGTGAAACCAAATAGTGATGTATGTTAATGTTTTTTTTTTTTTAACAGTCGTTTGATGGCCTTGAAAAGAATGGGAATAGTGGATAATTATGAGGTAAGTTTCGGTTGGAAACAGGCAGTTATCATCTTGATATCAAGAATTCATAGTTTATTGTGTAATTGTGTAAAATTTATTTAAGCGGCTAGTTTGGTACCCTTAGCCTTTTACCTTTCATGAGTGACCAAGACTGAATTTCTCCCTATAATATCAATACAATATCAAGCAGATAGGTAATGAGAGTAAAAAAAATATCAATGAGGGCATGATTAGTTGATCCATTACCAAATTCTCTGAACAAACATAGTGATAATGATATGGTAGATAGTAAGGAGAATATTAAGCAATATCTTGGAAGTGAAAATATTAAGGACAATTTTATATATTTTAGTGATGAGTAATGTGTGCAGAATTGCTGGTAACTTTATATTAAGTTTTTTTACCACACTGCACTTTCTTACTGGCTGAAAATTTTTCAGGCTTTTTTTTTTTACTTCTTCAAAAGTAGTTTTCTATACTGCAAAGATCACTCTCACATTTATTTATTTATTTACAGCTCAAATATATGATATTCATAATTACATAATCACACACTGTACTCTGATAAGTTTGTTATCTTAGTAATGCAATATCAGATCACTGGTATTAAATGATCATGAAGTGATTAGCTTGCATGGTAGTCTTCTTCCTTTCCCAACCACCAGCAATGTTTATATTTTTTTCTTGTTGTGGACACTAGCTGAATAAGCATTTTCATTTTCTTGTATGTTAGAAAATCCGTGACTTTACTGTGGTAATCGTTGGTGTTGGTGGAGTTGGAAGTGTCACAGCTGAAATGTTAACAAGATGTGGAATAGGAAAGGTATGAACTGAAGCAATTTACAGTGCACTTTATTTTTAGTAGACATACCTTGAATCTAAAGATAAGCACCATGATCTGAGTGATCTTACATTACTCAACCAGCCAGATTATTATGTCCCTTGGTTAACTCTTTAACTTCCAGAAGTGATTACATGTAACTTCTCCTTATAATATCCAAACATTATCCAGGAAACAGGTAGTGAGAATACTCAAACTCATCAGGTACAAGATATATACCTTGATCAAACACCAAGTTCTAGTAACCAATTTACAAGGAAGTGTGTAGCAGCTAAAGGGGAGAATTGACAATCAGATCTTGGCAGTTAAAGGGTTAAGGATTTCTGTACAGCAAATTCAAAATTGTGATTGGTATCATAATGGTACAAACTGTGTATGTAAAGAATTATTTGATTTATAAAACTGTGTTTCTTGTCTGTAGCTTTTACTTTTTGATTATGACAAAGTGGAACTTGCAAACATGAACAGGTAAAAAGTTGACTAATCGAAGTTAGTTTGTAGAATCTTCCCTTGAAGTGCGCATCATTCTGTCTCTCTGTCTTTTAATCAAACACTTTGTCTATGCATGAATGTCTTTCTTTTCTTCCTTTCTGCATATGATATTCTGTATGCCTAACTATTTCTCTCTGCGTTGCCATCTGCACTTTACACAGTCATCATCATTCTCATTATTATCGGTAATTACCCACAACATAATCGTTATTGATATTCTATCTTATTGAAACTTATTTGATTGGACCTGCGGATGAAAATTAAGCAAAGAAATTATCCTCACAGGTTGACTGCAGATAGGAACCCTAAGTAACCATTTATACCCTGAGTGACTGGCATCTAATTTCTCCTTACAGTCATATACTGAATCATTCATTAAGATCATGAGAATTAAGAAAATTATCACCAACCTATGAAGCTCTGATTGTCAAATGAATTCTCCTTGCTAGTACTAAAGGAAATGTATAGAGAAGGGTATGGAGAATATGGATACTGATGTTAGAGTGTAAAGAGTAAAAAACAATTAAGGCTATGACAGGATAGGAACCCAGGCCTCCCAGGTATTAGATAGGTACCACTACCAACTGAGTTATGAGGTCACATGTTTGGAGCATGGCAAATCTTAGAGAGGATTCATCTTTTCTGCAAAGGAATCTGATCACAATTTTGTTTAACCCTTAAACTCCCATTAACATGTAATTTTTCCCCATAATATCCATACATTACCCTGCAAACAGGTAATGAGAATACTCAAACTTATTGGGTGGATGTTGTTATCATGATCTGTTGTTAAATTCTCCTTGTAAATTAACAGGGAAATGTGTAGCTCCTAGCTGGGAGAATTAACAATCAGGTCTAAGAAGGTCTTTCTATTGATGCATGTTACAATTTGTTTCCTGTCAGGTTATTTTTCCGTCCTGATCAGTCTGGAATGAGTAAAGTTGAAGCTGCAGTGAATACTTTGAGGTAAGTAAACAGGAATGTAATTAATTGTCATGGTGCACTTTGCAAACACACACATTAGGAATTTGTGTCACAGATTTAATTTAATTTTTGCTTTTCTGTGTGCTCTGTAAATGTTGTTTACAACATGACTGGGGATTTTGTTTGCAGAGACATCAATCCTGATGTGGAATTTGAAGCATACAACTACAACATTACATTACTGGAAAATTTTAAGCATTTCCTTTGTAGAATAAGGTAAGGGAAGTACTGAATACTTCAGATAATAGATAATAGTGCTGTTTTACTCTTTCACTCCTAAGATCTCATTTAATTTAATTCTCCTAACCATCTGCTATAAAACTCTTGTGATTTTCTTTGTCCCATGCTTGTGACAAGATGAAAAAAAAAACATCTTTCTGTATTTCTTTGCTGAGCTCAAAACTTACCATCTCTCTTATTTCTATCTACAAACATTACACAAACGACATTGCTGATCCTAGCGGTATGCAGGACCCATGTCATATGAACTTCATAATAGACCTTGTTCACCATGGAGTCTGTATGGCTCAGAGGTAGAGCATTAGAGTGCAGAATTCAAAGGTCTGAGGTTTGATTCCTCATGGTGACTCAGAATTTTTTCTTTGTCCCACACTCGTGACAAGACAAAAAAAAAACATCTTTCTCTAACCCTTTTGATGTTAGTTTGGAGAATTTGGTAGTGGATCAACTAATAACCCCCAAATTGATATTTGCTTCTATTCTCCTCACTTGTCTGCTTGAAACTGAACTGATGATGTAAGGAGAAATTCCGTCTTGGTCAATCAGGAAAGTTAAAGGGTTAATGAAATGGAATAATTATATCACTCATATGATTACAGTCCAAATGTACTGTGAGTAGGTATTTTATTTGATTCACCCTATAACTCCCAAAATCTGATCATCAATTCTCTCCTCTAGCCACTACATGTTTCTTTGTAAATAAGTGACAAGAATTTAGTGTTAGATCAAGATAACAACTTCTAACTGATAAGTCCAAGTATTCTCATTACCTGTTTGCTGGATAATGAAGGGATTTTATAGGGAGAAGTTACAGGTGAATCATTTCTGGGAGTTCAAGATATTAGGTCCCCTGGGCACTTGTTAGTTAAGGTTTTGTACCTTTGAGGGTGGGCCCCCATTTGAGGCTGGGAGCTAATTAAAATT